AAAATTGTTCAGCATTTGGATATTTTTTTATTAATTTGGTTCTAAGTTTTCGGCTCACATGATCCAACCTCAGAATGGGTTATACAGACATGAAACTCACCGTCAAAGATGGTATGTTGTTATTTTGACGTAGAAAATTGCTATTCGACGATAACGGATGCAGAATAGCAGATTCAGATCATAAGTCCAAGATACGGTTCTATAACGTCATATCACACGATAGACCAAAGTATTACAACAGAACCAATGTCTAGATGCAATATAATGTGTTGTGACTAGTTTTAAATGTAATTTTGTTGAGTGAGTTGCTTTGTTTTAATGTCTTCCAATATCTGAAGGTTCTTTTTACTGTATGTATGCGTATTATTGTGTTATCAATTAATATCTGTCTAATATTATTTACATGGCTATGTTTTTTCTAAGAAATGTTGTTTAATAGAACTAAGAACAGAAAGCTGACAGGTAAGTCTACGGGAGAGTGTGGTTGTAGTAGAACCAATATATATAGTGGCTTCATTATTAGCATCCGATACAATCTCTAAGCGGGCATGTAAATTGATACACTACACTGTTTTTTTTGTTTTTTTTTTTTTCTTGAGGATTTAGTTGTGTGGTTGTAGGGTTATTGAAGACTATGGTGTTAGTTTTTTTTTAATTTTTTATGATATAAGATGAGCTTAACTTTTTTATTATTATTAATTTAACTTTTCAACCTGTTTTGTTTTTGAGTGTTGTTTCATCATGTTTGTAACTATTATGCATTTGTTCACAATAGTTAATAGTATTATGTTTATTTTGACGTACACTATTATTATTATTTCGCGGTATTGTTAAGTTTATTGAGATACATTTAAAATTTGTTGATCAATGACGGAATTGGGAAATCCGTTATTAATAAGTGTTTGCTTAATGTTATGCAATTCTTTATAGAATATGATTTGGGAAGAATATATCATTCATGTACTCTTTTTTTTTTAACTTATTTCGTTGGGGGCATTCACTATAATAATTAAGAAGACACGAGTTAATGTCTATGGGCTTCCTGTATAGAGAAGTAGCAGTTTTGTGTGTACTGGAATCAATAAATACATCAAGTAATGGAATTTTAGTATTAATATTAATTTCTGATGTAAATTTGAGGACGGAGTGACTTTCAAATTTGTTCTTAAGCTGTGTCATTTGCTCAATATTTTTAGCTAAAACGAAAATGTCATCAATGTATCTGATGTATACAGGGGGTTTATTAATGTCATTGAGCATTTTATTTTCTAAATGTGTCGTATAATAATTAGAAAAATATATATATTAATTAATTAAAAAAAGATTTCAAAGAAAAACCATACATTTGAATTTTCCAGCAATAAACGTAAATTTATCTCTGCAGTTGGTTTACACTGCATCTTCAGTCGTATATATATATATATTCATATCTGTGTGTATGTGAGTGTGTGTGTGTGTTTGTGTATATATATATATATATATATATATATATATATATATATATATATATATAGGTGATGATTGGAAAGTAAATCCCTATTTTATGTATGATGGTCTCTCCTGTCTTGTAAAAATTATAATTTGACAGGACTTACATTTCAATCACCCTGTACATATATATATATATATATATATATATATATATATATATATATATATATATATATGTGTGTGTGAGAGCGTGCATATGTAAGAGAATTCAAATATTCATACATTCATTTATACCCATATATTTAATCTCTCAATCCATCTATCTCTCTCTCTCTCTCTATATATATATATATATATATATATATATATGTGTGTGTGTGTGTGTGTGTGTGTGTGTGTGTGTGTGTGTGTGTGTGTGTGTGTGTGCGTGTGTTTGTGCGTGTGTGCTTGCATGTATAATTAAATATATATATATATATATATATATATATATATATATATATATATATATATATATATTAAGTTTAGGCACTACTGAATCGTATTGAGTACTGTTTTTTTTAAATAAAATAATTAATAAAAACTCAGGATTATAAATCTTACTGTTCTTTCTCATTATTTCAATATATATATATATATATATATATATATATATATATATATATATATAAATATATATATTATAAAAAAAGACAAAGAACATCTGATTCGCCGTTAAATTTGTACTTGTACAAGTACAAATTTAACGGCGAAACAAAAATGCCGAAAAACTTTCTGTCGTTAAAAAAGACCAGACGACATGCGTTGAACGGATGTCATCATTCGTTTGAAAAAGGTACCCCTACCTTACCTTGACTTAAGCTCATTGAGAAAGTAATTAATATGTTGATACAATAGTTGTCAGTGAAAAAGAATACCCTACCGGCCCTTGTTAAAATGATTGAATTTCCCCATATCCAGAGAAACGTATATTTGTATCTATAAAAAATAATGTATAAACATAAAGATCTCTTCAAATAATTGTCTGACTTTGACCATTTCATAATGTGTGATACATATATATACATATGACTGGATTTCTCCATATCCATAGAAACTAATATTATGAATGTATGTGCTTATAAAACTCAAAAACTTTAAAATAAGTTATTCCAAAATTCACTTGAAAATGAAATAGAACTAGAGACTTGAATTTAATTTAATTCTATAATTGAATTTAAGCTTCTGTTTTTGAAACATGGTAATTCCTGTGTACTGATGAAACCAAAACTTTAAATAAGTATATATATATATATATATATATATATATATATATATATATATATATATGTGTGTGTGTGTGTGTGTTAAAAGGTGAAATAGGGAAAAAGCCTGGGCGTAGATTAATATTTGCATAATATTCAATGGCAGCACTCTCGAGAATTTTCCTTCTGAATCAGTTACTTTCTTTTTTTATGAGTGTAGCATTTTTAAAATCAAAATTGTGGTTGAATTCATTTCTATGTCTGACTAGTGTATTAGCTAAGTTGTTTTTTGCGAGGTCTCTTTTGTGCTTATAATAGCGTTTTTTCCCCTATTTCATATTTCTTTTACAGAATTATTTCTTTCCCAAACAAATCTACAGAACAGTATCAAGAGATCAAAAGAAAATGGTTGAATCCGTGAACACAACAATAAAAACAAGATCTCCACACGTGACAGTAATTGACGTAATTTTCAGTTAACAGTATGAAAATAGCGATCTCTAAATTCTTCCAGTTGCTAAGGAAATTTTGTTTTGTTATTATTAGTTACTTTGTTTAAATAAATTCATTTCGTTTTTTGCCTTGAGAAAGTCCACATTGGACGAAACGCGTCGTGTAATAATACAGTTTTCCTATTGTCATTTATATTTATAAATATTGTCTTTTTCTGCAGGTTAACTCTTAGAAATTTTTCATATCTCTCTCTCTCTCTCTCTCTCTATATATATATATATATATATATATATATATATATAATATAATACGATATTATTTACGTGTAGAAAAAATTTACATAGGGACGTATTTTCCGACAGCAATTTGATTATCTGAATGTTGCCTTTTAAGATACTGAGTGAATCTACTGGCTGTCCTAGTCACGTTTTGTGCAAATGCCGTACGAAAAGACTTCTTGGGTATCATATTGGTTGAGGGGTTGCTTCTCTGTCCTCGTTTGTAACGAGTGAAACCTGCTGTTGCGAAACAGACGGCCACATTAATGACAGTCCTTTGTGAAAAAAAAAAACTTTAAGTTATTCATCCAAAAATAGAACAAGTTAAAATCGTTTTGTGTCAGAACCACTTTCTTTCGAAATGAGCAATGGTGAGAGGGAAAAGATCATTCAGGCCTTCAGTAATGGTACCAACATTCATACTCTGGCTTCCATCTTCAAAGTCCATTCCAGAACCATTCAAGAGAACGGTGAATAAGTTCTAAAATGAGGGAAGAGCAGAAAGGAAAACTGGTTCAGATCACAACAGCAAGAGGGATCATCATTTCAACTTAGAGCTAAATACATTGTTATTGTTCAAAGTAAATTCCAATAATGTTATAAAAAACTTAGAGAATTCCAGTAAGATATCTTTAATCATTTCTAAGATAGAACAGTCCAGAGCTTAACCTAATAATTGAACAATTTCACTGTTACACGATTTGGTCAGTTTTGCTCTTACACCCGGTATATATATATATATATATATATATATATATATATATATATATATATATATATATATATATATATATATATTGCGTATTTAGGCAGCATTTTTTCATTCGTACATGTTTCATTAAATAATATAGACAAGTGTTGTCTATTTATTTTATGTAAATTCTTTTCATATCGTCTGATAAGCTTAATAACATTATCATTAAACGAAGAAAGAAAATCACAATATTGATCCATATTTTTTAATCCAATCTAAGCTTTCGGCTTAAAAATTCTTGAAGCTATATACATAAAACAGTTAATATTTCTCGTTTTCACTCTCGCATGGTCATGTGTGACGCCATGATCTGCGGTGCGATTTTCGTTTCCAGAGTCTTATATGCACGTGTTTATCGTTGCTTGGAAATCTTGCATGTAAACAGAAGCAGACTATCATCACTGTCTTGTCCGTGTATTGTTTAATATATTGTCCTGTAATTTGTCATCTTTGATAATGACTTATGTAAGCCGAAAACTTAGATTGGATTAAAAAATATGATAATGTTATTAAGCTTATCAGACGGTATGAAAAGAATTTACATAAAATAAATAGACAACACTTGTCTATATTATTTAATGAAACATGTATGAATATATATATATATATGTATATATATATATATATATATATATGTGTGTGTGTGTGTGTGTGTGTGTGTGTGTGTGTTTGTGCGTGTGGGGGGTGTAATTATAAAAATAACTGCCAAATTAACTATTTCTCAAAAATGGGTAAATGTATAAAATGTGCTCCATGTAAAGATGAAACTAAACGATTCTTCGTGATGACGGCTTGCAAGAATGCTGTAAAAAGTTACCCCTGCTTAGAGCCTGGGTAGAAATGCTTAAATTCATGGTGCCCTCCCTCTATCTGCCTTTTTTTTGCGGGGGGGGGTACGTGGAGTATGTACGGCTGGTGTTGTATACTTTTGGTGGTCCAGTGCTATGCGTGTGCCAGTTGACCAGGGCATGACTTCTATTTTCAGAAATCTTTTAACACGCTATCTCCACTGCTAAATAGTGGGAGATTGATGGCGAGAGGATAATATTTAATAAGAAATGCTTCCCTAAATCATAATTACGGAGGTATTGCTTATTAAATTTTAATCACTATATATATATATATATGTGTGTGTGTGTGTGTGTGTGTGTGTGTAAGCAACTTAAGTGAAATATACTTATGTACGCGTGTATATATATTTGTTTAGGTAGATTCAATATATATATATATATATATATATATATATATATATATATATATATATATAACGAAAAAATTATATATATATACGTACAAACAGAGTACTCTCTCTTTCACAGACAGACAGACACACACACACACACACACACACACATATATATATATATATATATATATATATATATATATATATATATATATATATGAATATATATATATATATATTGGCCTATTGTGATTGTATATGTCAATAAATAACTTATGTTTTATTTGCCTGACACGAAATATATACAAAATGAGTGAAGGCAGATATAGCCAATTTATATATAAACATATATATATATGTCTCTGTGTGTGTGTATATATATATATATATATATATATATATATATATATATATATATATATGCGTCAATAAATATTATATTTTATTTGCCTGACATGAAATATATATACCGATATGTGAAGACAAATATACACAAGTTTATATATATATATATATATATATATAAATATATGTGTGTGTGTGTGTGCGTGCCTGTATGTGTGATATAGGTGCGTACGTGTGTGTGTGTGTGTGTGATGAATATATATATATATATATATATATATATATATATATATATATATATATATATATATATATATATATATATATATATATATATATATATATATATATATATATATATATATGGACTTCCTAATATTGATTTTTTTTTTCGAAAATGTTTTCTTTCCTTCTGTGTTCTGTCAGTATCTCATGCAAGTGCTCTAAGTGTCGCTTTCAAAGCCGTTCCGAGGAACACATGCACTCGGCGGCTTTCTTCGTCATCTTTGATGTCTATGTCGAATTATTTAATTGATGTCATTAAAGCACACTCATTATTTCTCATTAGCAAATCAAACCTCATTATAAACACTCTATACATTTTTCTCATTGCTATATTTAAATTGACGAATATGCATATTAATATATTCTATTATATTACGTACTGTCTTATACACACACACATATATATATATATATATATATATATATATATATATATATATATATATATAAATATATATATATATATACACTGACATTGGCATTCAAAAATGATATATTTCTGATTGATTGTTTTTCTACGGCTTATCAACCCTTTCCAAGTTTCAAAAAGGATATAAATATGATCAGAATTTATTATGTTGGTCAAAGATTTTACTATAAATTTGGTAGTCCTTTCTGACCTTTCAAACTTTTAATGGACTTCTTTAGTTTCAAATTCAGATTTTTCCTCTTAATCTGGTTTTCAACCCTCAAAATCCTGAAAAGTCAATATGTATGTATGTATGTGTGTGTGTGTGTGTGTGTGTGTGTGTGTGTGTGTGTGTGTGTGTGTGTGTGTAATTCTAAAATGTAACTGCCAAATTAACTATTTCTCAAAAACTGATATATGTATAAAATATAAAATGTAAAATAAGTAATGAAAATCTTGGTAATCCGTATGGATAATCCCAAGGAGGATGAAATCCTAAGTGCTCAATGTTAAGTCAGAGCGATTTAATTTGACGAAAAACAGACCACTTTAAGTTTCCATTAGTTATAATTTATTTCACCAGAGAATTTTATTTTTCTCTTGATCTTCAGACTTCACTTACAAAGGTGAAACGAAAAATGAATTTAAAATTTACACTTTTGACGGGCAGTTATATAAGTTGACATAGAAGGTGGTGAGGAATAGTGTGAGAGACATGGTCAAGTTTAGAGAGGGAAGGGAGAGTTTTAAAATTTCTTTTTCCTTTTATTACAATACTTGATACATTGACTTATTTAATCGGTCAACTCAACGGAAAAATGAAAAAAGTTTAAAAAGTGGGGAAGTAAAGGGATATAAGAGATGTACGTAGGGTTTTTGGAGGAAGGAGAGAGGTGGTATAGCTTCAGTAATTTAAATAAAGAGATTTAATATATATATATATATATATATATATATATATATATATGTATATATATATACATATTTCATCCATTAGACAGTATCACAGCTCATCAGCGTGGATAGACGTCCGTTTGCCTCTAGCTAGGATCGAAACCCTGTTGAATTGGAGTTAGTCGTACATTCTACCACTAAGCCTTAGGTGCACAGTAGGCAGCGAGGTGAATTTTTAGATTTCCTGATGTCCTTTTTACTGATGATTGTATTTGATTTTCTTTAATATGCTGGATGTGGGGGTGGTGTAATGTAATTTAATATAACGAATGTGAAATCAAAGAGCCGTGTTCGAATTCCAGTCGGGCTTCGTTACATATTTATCAAGTCCAGAGAAGTATCTGCAATATTATCGGTCCTAATCTGGCGGCTCAACTTCCGTCACTCCCCCACCGTCGTAATGTTGCCTCTCTGTGTCTTTTCTATAACTACCTTCATGTTAATTGTCCGAATGAGCTCTTCGCTATGGCTGTTTTAGTTAGAATTTCCATAGAGACAATGAGGTATTATGGTGAATGTAATAAGATAGGTAAGTAAGAATGCTTTGTTTTAGCCTAAGGAATATTATTGTATGTTTGGGTCAGTGTTTGTGGCTAGCTAAGTTTAAAGTTAAGACAGAAGAAGACCGTCCTTTTCTCCCATTCGCCATTTTGGCTTTGTGCCACATTTTGTAACTTTGTACAAATACATATCGTTCTTCGCTATGGTACCTAGACTGTATGAATGTATGAATTTAAGCTCAGTACTAGACAGGCGTCGAGATCTCATCAAGAAGAAAGGAAATAAAAAATAAAAACAAACATTAAAGAACTTTGGATCATTATTCTAATTGTTCGATCAAACGCGCACACACACACACACACACATATATATATATATATATATATATATATATATATATATATATATATATATATATGTGTTTGTTTGTATTATAAGCATATATGATTACAAGATGCATGTACAGATGTTTATTTTCAATATTAGTATTTACGTTTCAAAAGAATTTTAATATTCCCCCAAAACATATTTATAAACATATATAAAAGTACTTCAAACGACCGATGTCTTTTTATTGTTATATATATATATATATATATATATATATATATATATATATATATATATATGTGTGTGTGTGTGTGTGTGTGTGTGTGTGTGTGTGTAGTAGTAGTAGTAGTAGTATATATATTAGTAGTAGTAGTAATCTTATAAGTATAAGCCTTCAGTGTTTGGATTTGCAAATAATCAAACCAATACCAAAGGGGAAAAAAGGTATTAAAAAAGAAAGAACCAAGAACTAGATAATCGTCTAGCATGCAAGTCAAAGGCCCAAAGAAAAAAAAACCGATACGACTAGGCAAAATAACTAAATAAACTGCTCGATACAGTAAGTAGAGCAAACCTAGTTAAACCGAGAGAGCCAGACAAACCTACCAAGGTTTCACCTAAGCGGATCGATTGGTAGGTTTGTCTCTACTTTCTAGGTTTAATATATATATATATATATATATATATATATATATATATATATATATATATATATATATAGTTAGTTAGTTAAACCTAGAGAGCCAGAGAAAACTACCAAAGTTTCACCTAAACGGATCCTCAGGGAAGTCTTCCCTGACGATCCGCTTACGTTAAAATTTTGCTCTGTTTAAAGAAAATAAATATTGATCACTCTTTTGTGAGTCAGTTTTAACTTTTAATATTTAACATTTCAAATTCTATATTGTGTTAGTAGGACTGGTTTGAATTATACCAACGGATATATATGTGTGTGTGTGGAAGGGGGTGGGTATGTGTCGTTGTATGTATACCGTATATACAGTATATATATATCAATATGTATGCATTTATGCATATATATATATATATATATATATATATATATATATATATATATATATATATATATATATCACACACATATATGTGTATATACTTATATTTAGTAGTATTGATGTGAGTTTGTGACCCTGGGTTTCACGCTATTTGCGATCCTCAGACTCTGACGATTGCAAATAACATGAAACCCAGTGTCAAAAAACCTCACATCAATCCAATTAAATATGGTAGCCCTATCACTGAGCGCTTTCCAATGTGTACCGCGCATATATAATATATAAAAATTGCATTTATTTCTATATAAATACACATTTTACACACACACATATATATATATATATATATATATATATATATATATATATATAATATAAAGTTTTTTAATGCGTGCTATATTTATGGGATAAAGTGCACAATATCAGAAATAGAGCGTATGTAAATATAAATATTAAAGTGAAGATTGAAATTAACATTCAGAGGCGACAGGCTGTTTCATGCTATTCGCTTGATGATTGCGTCCAGCATGAAACAGCCTTTTGATTGTTGACTTCAATGTTCACTTATATATATATATATATATATATATATATATATATATATATATATATATACACACACACGCGCGTATAATTAAGTAATTCATCGAGTCTAGAAGAAACCTCAACAGAATGCAAAAAGGACTGGACGGCCGTTTTGTCCTATATTTGGGACTCAACCCCGAGAATCGAAACCGAGACTGTTATCAGGCAAACCTCGTACCAACTGTACAAACGGGCCTCGACCACTTATTCTGTGGTGGAACTTCTCCGAGTTTCTCTTTTACCCATAGGACTATGCCCCAACCAGCCATGACAACTATACCC